CGACGACGAAGTTCATCCCCAAGTTACGCCATGTGGATCGATATCGACCGCCTTCCGTCTACTCCTGTCCGGTACATCTACACCCTAACAACTCAAGGCATGTCATCAGCCGCCTTCGTACGTGTGGACCCAGAAGGATTACGACGGAATCAATACGAACATCAATCGATCCCCATTACGACAGAGGGATACAAGAAGAAGCACAACTCCATCAGTGCTCACGACACGCAACCGCCAATGGACGACTCGACTCACACTTCACTTTTCGATCCAGTAGTGGCACAACCATCGCCACAGTCATTCGCCGCTTACGGATACATCACGTCGCTTCGAACTTACCGTCAACGGAATCAGGATTTTTCGACCCGCGTCGGAAATGGATGTTCTTCTCTCGTCACTACGATCAATACAACCTTGTTGATTGTAGCCTTCAACATCTAGCAGGACATCACCCAATCCTATTTCCTTCGTCCGCTTCGATCACCATCGCCGAAGCTACAGTTCGATAGTCGTACGCGCTGTTTCTGTAAGCCATGTCTTCAGCAATCGTCGATGCCGCCGACATTCACCTACTCCGTCAAGAAAACCTTCCTTTCGGACATTTCAACTCGACACGACTGTTCGCGCTGCAGTGGAAGTCATCACCATCTCTCGTGTGCAATCGCATAGAAGAAGCTTCCATCAACTCCGGATAGAACACTCTATCTTACTCTTCTATTCGACGCAATGCACGAGCCGTTCTATCTTCCATCGTGCAGTCAACGGACTACGTTTCGACCGTCATGTTCGAATCGACACGGACTACAGAGTAGTTGGATACGATGAACATCTCCCACATCGACGATTACGGAAGATCATCCTCACTATACGCAACAAGATCAGCGTTTAAGTCCAGTCTGATGTATATCCTAGCAGACATCGACCATCAGGATATCATGACCCGGATTGTCTTCAGCCATCTTCGCCAAGCTAGTTTCCCGTCATGTACATCCCGGTCCAACCATATTCCTCTTCAAGTCCTCTGTGGCCCCCATCGCCAACAGCGTCGACTAGCAAGAAGACACTTGGACGCTACAACATCTGAAGGATCCAACAGTGATCGATGGATGCGCTCTATGTGTAACATCTTTGGAGACCACTTCTCCCAAGACGGTTAAAGCGGAACACCTCTACTTCATTCATCAACCGACAAGCTCACCAGATCCTTCTTTATTCCAAATCATCGATCACTCCTGTCGTCATCACGGAGACCTCTGACCTGCAGAAGATATCCCACTATGCCTTCCATCTCCAGCTTTTCGGAACCCTTCCATGTCTTTACCGGTGTTGTCTCTTTCAGGCTTGGTTGCCCTCTATATCCGAACAACCACCCCAATAAACATTCTGCAATCGTCTAGGACCAAGTAAAGCACCGTCGTCCAGAAAACTAAACGCCCAAAACACCTCACCGACAACCGCACTTACAGTTCAGCATATCAACAGCTCTAACGCGGCATCATCACATTCTCCCGGTGTCGCAGTTTATCCTCGGAGACCATGCCGTATTACATCTCTGTGAAAAGTGTAAGGGCGACAATGTTACGACATACAGGCCAACACAACAACACCAGAACCTACAAAGCACGAAAACGAGAAAGATCATACTTGTAGCAAAGAACCAGCGAGTACTCGATACATAAAGGACCAACACCGCATCAAGTGCCACGTTACGACGACAAAACCGAAGCCACTTAGTCACCCAGCTTCCAACATCCCCCACGAACATCGACTCACGACATCCCAAAATAATCAAGTCTTCGTGCTACGCACGGAACACCCACATATCGTATCGTCGACACAACATCTTTCTTCTCATACTTCTTCTTACCACGAGAGTGAATGGACTCCGCGTTGATATCCCTTCGTATTCTACTCAGGCGAAAACCCGGCGCGCATGATCGTTGAGGACGCATTACGAACCAACACAAACCACCTCAAACCAACCACCAACAAAAAAAAATAACTCACAGCCATCGATCTACGCCTCGCCCAACTCAGAAACCCCAACAACCAACAAAAACCACACCCAAAACACCCACGCCTCAACCCTGATCCACCACACTGTGTACGAATAGCATCGTCCACTCCAGGATCATCGCTTCGTAAGGCGCCGTGAACAGATCCGCCTACAACGCTTCGCCAACATTCCCAGATCACTCAATGAGATCTGCCCCCACCAATGCCCCGCTACACAGTCCTCCACCCTCAGCAGGACGAGCGTCAATCCAAAACCTTTCCTCTCCGCCGGACTATTTTCGGGCATGAATTGTTGATCGTTCAGCATTCGTTGTCCAACGAAATGAGATTCGTCACAACATCGCAACTCTTACGCCCTCAGAGGCAAGTCCATACCAACACCTAATCAAACCTGGACCCTCTCGCTACAGGAAGACGTTCTACACATATAGCACTCCGATTCCATATCCGCCAACATCACAGGTTGCGTACAAGTTAAATTGTTAGAACTCACCTTCGACACATCAACGACTATACCCATGGACCAACAACATCCAGTCCGCAGATCCATTCGATATCGAAGTATGAAGCCAACCTTGTCAATAGGAATTCTACCTCCTTATAATGAAGAAGTTGTTGCGTCCTCCGCATGCAATAGCAGCCTCGACCAAACGAAGAAGGTCATTCAGCCATCATTAAATCACTCAACTCAACCGATCCTATATTATGAGCTGTATGTCACACCCCCGAAGCGCTACTGTCTGCTCTCTCAACAGCAGTCACGTACAGAAGGTCAACGTAACATCTATATCCTCTGGAATTAGCGCCTAAGAACAACCGCAGGCATTGCTATGCTGCACCTCACTGTGCCCAACAGCCATGACCCGTCAACTCTCTTCACTTCTATATAAGGATGGATCGGACAAGTCACTCTACTTCGACACGTCGCCATTCCACCATCGTTCTTTTCCGTTCCTTTAGCTGTTTTGCCACAGTTTCAAGTCCATCATCGATGGGATACCCGATCAATATCAGCACTTATGCTTCGTGTTCTCTCATCATCGGTTCGCACCTATATGGCGCTCTAGCTCAAGGATACGGTACTATTCGTGAATCAGGCAACGACACGCTGCTGCCTCTCAATTAACATCTCACGTTAGCACAGCATTGTTGTTTGCCTCTCGCCATCTACATTGACGTCTTCAGCTCATATCTCTCTTCTATAGTCTTCAGCTTGAATTGTTCGTGCATTAACAGCATGGTCAATCCTTTGCTTCAGATTGACAATACGAGTCATAGTCGCTGTGTTCAAGTCGCCCATCAAGACACCCATGAAGCGATCGGCAACGTCATCGAGCAACCAGCAATCGAGGAAGCAATCGAAGCCGTCTGGTATTCCATCTACCACGCCATCTGCTGAGTATTCCATGTCTGCATCTTCGAGCCATTCCACCTCGGCTCCAGCAGACAATACTGTTCTGTCGTCAGCTACCCTTCTGCAAGGGACTCCCGAAGATACCCCAATCTGATCGAATTGGCAACGGCGTTCCGACACAAAGACCACTCATCCTCGTCGAATCCGACCCTAGTCAGTCTGCTACGTCCACGTCAACTCTGACCCGTATTCGACCCCTCAAGACCTTCTCCGCCGAACTACTCACGGGATCAGTAATCTCTCCGCAGTCCGACGAACCGCATCCACAGGATTAGCAGTTCAACATCAATCTGGAACTAGACCCGGTTCGCAACCAGATCGTCCAGTCCGCTTACCAACCGCAGCCGATGTTCGACAACCACACCTCGCCACAACAAACGACGACCCAAGAAAGCAAAAAACATAACGTATCAGTCATATAAGCACACTTGAGTATCAACTAGAGACATCGATCATCGCAAAACGGCCTTATCTACTAAAACAACAACCACGAGTTCTATTCCACCCTTCGTTCCTGGTTGGTTGAAGAAACCCCGTCGCCGAAAGCAAAACACCTCGACTACGCGCCCGTCAAGAACTATTCCATCTGTTCTATTATTCAATCGTACAAAGGACTTCATGCTGCTAATGAGAAAATGCGGAAAAAAAAAATTCACACACGATCTGCGGGCCGCATTCATAACCGGAATAATTGCACAACGCAAATTGACGAAGCTCGTTAGCTATACGACGAACCCTCACTCTGCTCCCCACGATAGTCACGACGCCCAAAGGACACTACCTTCGACTGAACCTCACTTTTTACCCCACATCCTCAACTCCATCGAGGACAATCGACTATTCGTGGATACGCTAGACTACTACACCATCACTCTAGCGCAAATCAAGCTCGTCTGTACAGCAGCCACCACGGAAACAGCGTTTGGATTCCTCAACCTCAAGAAGATCTGTTCGGCAATCGCACGTCTTCGCAGTTCCACGTCAGAACAACCAGTACCAGCCGAGACCTTGGATCTGGAAGATATTCCTACTATTGCTGAATACAACGCCGTTGTATCGAGGACCCAATCATCGACAGGTACTGCTACACAGCCAGCTTCATCCACGCAGTCTTCAGCTAATCTTCTCTTGTCTTCAGCTCGAACTAGACCAGAAGAACCGCCATCGAGACCGGAGGACGTACTCGCCTCAGCCGAACTCGTCAAGCAGTGCAACACGACCATCAACTACGGATCGCCGTTCTGTTCGTACACGTCACAGAAGCCGTTCTCGTCGTTCTCGCTCGCCTGCAGCGGACAGCCATTCAAGACGCAGACCATCGCGAAGTCCATCCAGAAGTCAAGCACACTCGTCTCAAGAAGAACTTGTGCCTCCTCACATCAGGTGTCACTTCTGTCGAGAGAATCACTATTCGTCTGGTTGTACCGCCGTTCGAAGTCTAACAAGGAGAGCCACGATAGCAGTTTCTCAAGGAAGATGCCCCTACTGTCTCGTCGCCCATACGCCAGGTTACTGTCGCCGTCAATCGGAATGCTGTGTTTGCGATTCAATCGACCATCATCCAGCACTCTGCCCGTACAGTTACCACGTCGTCAGAGACATAGGACCCAGTGTCAACGCATTCTTCGACAAGATGTACGATCAATACAAGAAGTACTACGATCGCAGTCCGAAGCACTGAGTGACCGGAACATCGTCGTCAGCTCGTCCATCACTTCACTTTCTGTAATGGCCCTAACGTTTTGGGGATTCGGGTTTTGAACATCTTACCCCCATACAGCGTTGAGAGATCGCTGTTATCCAAAATTACACGTTTTCGATTTGGGAGTTACGACCCCCCTTGCCGAATTGGCTTAGCGAGGCTTACCATCTCTCCCTCGCATTTTGGACCCTTGACTTAGGTAAATTAACATCGTCTCAACAACATCGAGCCGTCAACGCCAAGTCATTCGTCCATCGTGCCGTTCGCCCATCGAGATGATCGCCCATCGTGCCGTCCATCGTGCCGTCCATTGTTCATCACTCGAGCCGTTCGTCACCAAAGCCACTTCCATCGTCGCAACTCCACTTCAACATCACCGTGTCCAGCAGCAACTCCAACGTCAACGCCGTCAACACCAACAGATGGCCAACACACGACCGCCAAACACCGAAAAACAACGTCAACGCCGTCAACGTCGATGCCAACGTCACCTTCAACGTCGGTTTCAACGTCAACGTCGTCGCCATTCCAGTTAGTAAAGTGATACTAGTTTTTCGTTTTACTTTGTATATTTTTTGCTTATTTACTCTCGTTTTACTATGTAATCTTTATCCTCATTTATCATGCAGTCATTTGAAGAAGTTTTTACTTAAGCTTGACCCCTATTTAACTATGTTTATACGTTCTAATCCCCTCGATCGGTTGGCAGCAGGCCCCTCGTCAACATCGTCGCACGTCAGTATCGTCGCATCTCGTTTTGGCGCCGGGAGTGTCGCGACTCTCGTCACGACCTTTTCAACGTGCAAGGTATGCGCCGATACATTCCCGTGCTCCAGCCACGTTCCCACGCTATGGAGGACGAAATACTACGCCTTCCCACGGACGCAGACACTTTCTCATGGTTTGAATGCGTGCAACATCCAGAAGTGCGGGAAGTGCTCTGCATCTCTGCCTTGGCCCGCGCTCGTCTGTCAGCAGTCGTCGTCCAGTCGTCTCGCCGAGCGGTTGTGTCCGTGGAGTCCTCAGCCATGGTTGGAGCTGCCGTCAACACCATCTTCGACAGCCAACGGATCGGTCGCATACCACTCCGCCGCTTATCCTTCCGATCGTGCCCGTAGGTTCCTCCCATCTCTCTCTCATTCTATATAACGTAGTCTCGCAATCTATTGTAATATTAGTATAAATCACCTTAATACTTAGTGTTCTGTTATGTAGCAATATCTACACATCTTTAGCAGCACGGTCGTAAGGTCGTCAGATAGGGGAGAGG